TTTTTGTTCAATCATTTTCAAACTTTCACATAAAGGAAGGAAACAAAAGGAATGTCCATAAGATATTTGTAAGTTATTAAAATTAACTCTCAATAGTCGAATACATGGCGACGGAGGCAGGCTAGACTTCGGGTGGTAAGCACACATTTAATATAGAGATGATCCTATATAATAAAACCTAATATGCAAGTTGACTGAATGGCAGGACAACCAGTTGCTATGACCCACACTGACCACCAAGGAGCAGACGCTCAATTCAGGAGCTGCCCTCTGGTGGTCAGTGTGCTCCCACAGGGGAAGCGCTGCTCAGCCAGAAGCCGGGCTCATGGCTGACAGGAGCCTCTCCCACCTCCACTGCAGGTGGGTGGACACGGAGTAAGTGGTTCCAGACTGTGAGAGGGTGCAGGCCGGGCTGAGGAACTCCCCTTTCCAGTGCATGGATTTCGTGCACCAGGCCTCTAGTGTATTATAAAATTGTACATCTAAAACTTACATAATGTTATTACTCAGTATCACCCCAATAAATTTGATTTTTTTTAAAATCTCAATAAACAAATTTATTTCACTAAGTATGGCTTCTAATTTTTCTTATGGTTTAACTTTAACGAGGAAAAGTTGATGGTATATTATCCTATAGCTACGTAGGAGGAAGGCATATACTCTTTGCCTGGCATAAATATAATTTTGAATGGTTGCAAGCCAACCTTAGGAGTCCATGCTTATTAAAGACCACGCTACTCAAATACCAAAGAGACAAAACAAACTAGCCAACAGATAAACTAATCCCTAAAAAATATAAACAATGTTTATCCATATCCACTGCACACTTACACCCTCCTAAGGGATCTCTCAAGAAATCAATCAGGAGCCCTTGGAACTCACTTGTTAAATGTTACTTCACATACTATATAATTAGTGCAGAGATCTATTTATTTTGGTTCTATCTGTTGAAAGCATTCTTCAGTCATTAGCCTCCAGGTATATGCACATCAAAGGGGAGACACTCAATAGATGTTTCACTGGGGAAAATTACAAGGTGGAAGCAAGCATTGCTAATCAAGAAAACATTCCATCTATGGTAAAATTCAGAGCCAGAAGGCTGGTTCTTACTCCAGTACCAGGCCTTGCAACATGACTCTTTCCCCAACCAGTCAGAATCCAGTCAGTTTTAAAGGGAAAAAGGACAAAAAAATAAAAACAAAAATAAATAAATAAATAAATATATAATTTTTTAAAATTTTTAAAAATAAAGGGAAAAAGGATAAACTGAACCATAGTCAATTCAGTTTAACAACTATTCCAAGATTCACTGAGGACAGGGCTTTGGTAAAGACTTTCAAATAAAAAGAAATCGATGCTCTTCCTTTTGTTCAAGCTTGTATTCCCGTAAATCTCAAAGTTTCTCCCTTTCACACCTCTAACAGTTAGTTGTCCGTACAACTGCAATATATGAAAACTGGAATAAAATGAGGAGGAAAGCATCTAAAATATGGGAAAGTCTTGGTTTAAGAGCAATGATCAAAGCCCATACATTCATCTATGACCTCATACAATTTACATCTGCATGTAGTTAATCTACCTATGCCTAACTTTCACCCCCATTGGCACTTAGCCTAGAAAACTTTCCTGAGACAAGAGAGGTGAGAGACAGAGAGAAAAGCTCTGAGGCATGGTGCCTAAGGAATGCTTTAGGGCTCTTGGCTGAGGTCACACTGAGCTGCCAGCTGATTGTCTTTAGGAATCAGCAACACAGCAGAAGCCATCAAGACCAAAAGCAAGAACTACCCACTGCTCCTTTTGACAGCCGCTTCCCCAACCAGAACCAGACAGGAGCTGTTGGCAGAACTACCTGGACTTCCACGGCTGTGAGAGACAATGACTGCTAAGGGGGGTGCTGTCTCTGTGTGAGAACGGTATCAGCACGTGTACAAGTCCCTGTGCCCCATACCCTGGGTTTCAGCCTGGGATGACCACCAGGCAGAAGGCATGTTTCCGAGGAAGCTCTGAGCTGGGCATCCTCCATCCTTCTCCAAGGTACATCCCACCCTAGAATCCTGAACCATGGCTTAACTAAGAATAAATACTTGCTGGAAAAATGTAAAAAAAAAAAAAAAAAGAAAGAAAAGGAATGCTTCAGGAAGATTAGTATCAACCCAACCAAGATCAAAACAAGTGGCAGACACAGATACCCCTCAAGAATCATGTCTGTGTGCTCGCTGATTCCCTCCTCTCACTTGAAAACCTAAGGAAAAGATGCAGATTTTGGAATAAGAGGAGGAAAAAAACTGTATACAGTTGACCCCGGAAGGTGGGGGCTAGGGAAATGACCGCCACGCAGTCAAAAATCCACATATAACTTTTGACTTCCCAAAAAGTTCTCCCTTAACATCCTTGGGGGGGCTGGTTATTAAAATCTGAGGGTGTTTAAGCCCCTCTATAAAACTGTGCAGATCAATGCACGAAGTTGGTTTTCCACATCTGCGAATCCCAACCTCGAGATGAAACAGTACAGGTATTTACTGCATATAAATGGACCATGCAGTTCAAACCTTTATGTTCAGGGTCAACAGTAGTTGAGGTTTCAGAGAATTTAACAACTGGCTCGGTTCTGTGTTGCAAACGATCGCTATTTCCACTACAATAGCAGAGAAGCTTCAAAGAATTTGGAAATCAAAATACAGTTAAGAAAGCGAAAAGCTAATGTCAGGAAGATGTCTACTCATCACACCCTTCCAGAGAGAGGTTCTCTAAAAGCAGAGTGTTCTTTTGCCCTGCCCAATGAAAGAGACAAAGACTCACCACCAAGAATGTGCCAAAATGCGATGTTTTCTCCTCGGGAGAGGAACAGACCTAGACTAGAACTTGGGTCTGAAACAAGTCCTGCCCCAGGGGACCATCTGAGGTCTCCTTACGGTTCCTCTAGTTTATATCTGGACTCCGCTACAAAAACCACAATAAAGGCAAGAGGCCAGCAACTATGTTAGCATGCATATATATATGAATGAAATGGTGGATCTTGTTAGCTGCAGCCTTCTGCAAAATCATTTTAGTGCCTTTAACTTCAATCATGAGTAGATGATTTAGATCTTTAAGATTTTGTAATTTTAAATGAACATTTGAGAGTTACATTTAGAAACGAACAGCTGGATCCAAAGCGAACTTACAAAGGGAGAGAGAAAGAATAATTCCAAAAGCTTCTATGGGAAGGAAACATCAGCCACAGACCTGGAGTTATTTAGAAAGAAAAGAATCAGGTGCCCCAGGACAAAGCAAAAGGTGACTTCCGCATTCTCTATCTGAATGCCCTCGCTCTCAAAAAAATTAAGGATATATTGCCAGGGAATACTAGAAACTAGCACGTAGGACATTAACAGAGAAAAAAAAAGCACCTTTCTACAGGAAGGTCAGAGGAAAGTTATAGTAACAGCTCCAACCACCTGCTTTGGTGAGCTCCTCTTTCTTGAGATGGAAAGTAGGAGGAAACAGGAGGAGTAAAAACATCAAAGATAAGGGCAGGGGCGTGAGGTGAATGAGAAAGGATGGGCTCTCTCTGGGCCACACCTTCGAGAACCCTAACGTCTCTGAAACCTTGAGCAAGCCTGCTGTTTTACCAGAGGAAAGCCTCCAGGTTGTGGCAGTTATAATTACATCTATAAAAAAACGAGGACAACTTCATGAGAGCAAACCCAAGCACCGAGGGGTGAAGAACATACAAGACAGATTCCGTAAGAAGAAAAAGGACACAGCACTGAAGACTGCTAGGAGAATGGAAGAGAAGGAGAGCGAATACCACCTACACGGCAACCAGCAACCGCTAGATAAATGTTAAGACAACGTACAAAAACCACACAAACATAGCTCGGGGATGAGAGCAGCGGAGGTCTGCACAGACATCAGAGAGGAGGCAGCATCCTGCTGGAGCATTGAGGAAGCAATGGGCAAGTCAGGATGGAATGGGGGGGGGGGGGGCTGCAGCAGCAGAAGGGGCCTGGAGAGAGCAGGGAGGGAGAGCAACCTGGGGGCGAGAGAAAGATCAGGATCGAGTCAAGCGTGGGACCCCAGGAAGACAGAGCAGGAGAGCGAATGGACACGGCCTGCCCTGAGAAATGGGGAGGCCCCAGACCCAGCAGGGGGTCAGAGCTGTAGACCACAACCAAAGTAGGAGCAGAAGAGGGATGCCCGGGGGGGAGGGGGGGGCCGGCGGCGGTGATGGAGACACCAGACTCAGTATCATGGTGTGATCCAGAGGCCATGTGAAGAGAAACTGCAGTGCCCAAGACACCACCGACACCACCACCGAACCAAACCAAACGCATGCAAGGCTCAGAAAAGAAGGTATTCTAGGAGCATGAATACGAAAAGGGAGGGAGGAAGGGGACACACAGAAGGACAGGAAAACATGCAGGGGTGCTTAACCCAAAAAGAGGGTACCTAAGGAAAGAAAAGGGTTGGAGAGTGAGGAGGGCTGAGGTGCCGGAGGAAGAGGAGGAGAAGTAGACAGAGGTCCTTCCTGCCTGGGCCCCAGGGCGGCAGGGGCGGCACGCCAGGGCTGAAGGGAGCGGGAGCGTGGGGAGAGCCACCAACTCGGACGCCACCGAGGAGAGCACTTGGGGTCGGAGGAGGAGCCGCAGGCGGGGAGCAGCCCAAGAGGCCCGTTCGGAGCAGAGCGGGGGGCGGCGAGGAGCTGCTGCAGGCACGGAGCCCCCGGGGAAGGCGGAGGAGCGGGGCGGCCGAGAAGCCAACGCAATGGGGGCGGGGGAACCGCGGGGAACCGCGGGGAGGGCGCAGGGGCTTAGACTGAAGGGAGCGGGTTTGGGGGGGAGGGGGGCGCCCAAAGCAGGGGTGTGGTTAGGGGCCGACCCCCCGGGAGGTGCGAGGCCTGGGCGGGCGCGGGTCCCGGGGGCGGTTCAGGGTGACAGGGGCCGAGGGGAGAGGCACGGACTCGCTAGCGGAGGGTACGGGGCGGGAGGGGTGGGGCGGCGGGCGGCCCGGATACTCACACCTCCAGAATGCGGTCCCCCTTGCGCACCCCGGCGCGATCGGCCGCCCCCCCGGGCAGCACGGCGCTCACATGCTGCAGCGGCGCGTACAGCTCCCCGTTGATGCTCCGCAGCTGCCCGCCCTCGCTCACTTGGCCCCGCACGTTGAAGCCGTAGCCGGACTCGGACTTGACGATGCGCACGACCCGCGGGCCGCTGCCCCCGCCGTTGCCGGCGCAGTGGAGCCCTGAACCTCCCCCGCCGCCGCCGCCGCCGCCTCCGTTCCTGTGAGCGGCCGCGGGGTGAATCCCTTCCCCGTCCTCGTCCGCCATCTTGCGAGCTAAGCGAGCCGTGTCCCCGCCCCCCGACGCCGCGGCTCCCTCCCTCCCGCGCGCGCCCGCTCCGCGCCGCGGCCGCGCGACCCCCCCCCCCCCCCCGCGCGCTCGCCGCCGCCCGCGAGACCCCGGTGGCCCCGGAGCTGCAGGCTGGGGTTAAAGGGCAGGCGCGAGGCGAGAAAAGAAGGACGTTGTGCGCTGCGGAGCCTCCTGGGAGATGTAGTTTACGGGCCGTGGGGGAGGGGCTGAGAGGGTGCTGGGCTCTGCGGGAGTGGAGGTTATATGACGCAGGTCGGAGCAATGCCTGCTGGGAGTTGTAGTTTCCCTCTTACGCTCGTAGGCGTTGAATCTGTTGGATAGTGAGTGTGAGGCAGCCTGATTCAACTGTGGATGCCTTTTTTTTTTTTTTTTTTTTTCTTTTCATAGCCTCTAAACCAATAATATTTAGGGCGAATGAATGTCATTCAATACAGTCTTAAGTTATACAACTCATTGGCACAGGTGGTCAACATAACATCCTTTTATTCCATGGCCTCAACAACCTCTTGAGACTGGATCATGAATTTAGTTTCTGTATTTCACATATTAGGAAACTGAACCTTAAGAGTGCTCAAAGTCATCCAACTGTTAAGTAACAGGAACTAAGGCCCAGTGACATTGATGCAACTTTTCCTGTATTGCAACTACATAAAAAGTAGGCCCCAGCCCAGCCTGTGTGGCTCAGTGGTTGAGTGTGGACCCATGCACCAAGAGGTGGCAAGTTGAATTCAGGTCATGACACATGCCCCATTTGCAGGCTCCATCCCCAGCAGGGGGAGCATACAGGAGGCAGCCAATTGATATTGATGTTTCTCTCTCATCCATGTTTCTCTCTCTTTTATTAACAATTAGTAAAAACATATTTTTGCCCTAACTGGTTTGGCTCAATGGATAGAGCATTAGCCTGCCGACTGAAGGATTCCAGGTTCGATTCCAGTCCAGGGCATGTACCTTGGTTGTGTGTGTGTTTGGGGGCCGGGGGTGTGCAGGAGGCAGCTGATCGATGTTTCGCTCTTCTTCTCCCTTCTCTTTGTAAAAGTTAATAAAATATGTATTTTTAAAAAACATTTTTTAAAGGAGGACCCCAACTATACAGAGATATAGAGAGAGGAAACTATGACCTTACTGATTTAAACCAATATTAGTGTGGCTAAGTAATTTCAATTGAGCAATGATTTCAAAGTTACCTTTATTTCTAATTCATTTTGTTCCTCCCAACAGTACAGTAAAATTACTTGCAAATGGCAGCAATTGATGTATTCAGATGAGAGCTTTGCTCTTGGTGGATTGACATGGTGGCTGAGGAACAATGGGCATGGGGAGCCCACCATTTAGTAGGAAGCAGGAAGCAGACCTGTTCCTTGTCCTGGAGGAAGACGTGATTTCATCCCTCAAAGTTACTCCCTGTAAACACAACCCTAGTGAAGAGGAGCCTTGCATTCTTGGCATTCCCAGGAAAATGCATAGAAGCATTAAAAACCCACCAAGGACCTTCTCTCTCAGCATTACTATGTGCCAGACTTGTGCTAAGCACTTGATATCTGTAATCTCATCTCATCCTCACAAACCAATAACGCTCCCATTTTATAGATGAATAGCCAGGAATAGAGAGGTCACACAGCTAATAAGCAATGGATCCAGGAGAAGCAACGGAGATACGTAGTTAAAAGACAATCAAAGTTAACTTACAGAGGTCTGAGGACTTACAAAAGCAACAAGCAGCTCCCTGAAATAATTTATGAACTATGTAAGGGTTTCTAGGAATTGCTCAGGAGAAGAAAAATAAAAATCCAGTAAAAATAAGATATCTCACAAAATATTGCATGAGGATTCAAATTTTATTCTATTAGAACATAAAAATGGTGATCTTAATTTATAAACAAGCTAATTCAGAAGGGTTCTTGATTCGTTACACAATATGAAAATCAATAAAAGTTGGAATAAGAATTTTGCTCCAAAGTAATAATTGTTTCAAAGTAATTTGGGTGGATCATGTATCATTTGGTTTGACCTGAGTGCTGGACGGGGGGAAACATTTCCACTGACACACAGCATCAGGGAAAGAAGAAAGGAGCTTCCATTGAAAGAACAATTCTTTTTTCATTTGTTTATTTGACAAAAATGTATTGAATGCTTACTCTGTTCTAGGCTCTGTAATAGTGACTAGAGATACTATATAAGATCAACAAGATGATATCTACTAGCTCCATGAAGGGCAACATGACATGGTCACACTTATGTGAAGGCATGCACTCCTTGATCTAGGGACTCCACTTCTAGGAGTTCATTCTCCTCTCACACTTGCACATGTGTGAAATGACATTTTGTGACGATAGTAATTGCAGTAATGTTTGTGTTCACACAAGGCTGGAAATAACCTAACGTTCATTGATTACATTATGGTACATGCACAATAAAAACCTGAGGAACTAAATAAAGAATAAGGAAGTTGTTTATGTACTGAAGTGGAATGGCCACAGGAATACTGCACATAAGTAAGTGGATAAGATGCAGCACCATCTGAGGAACATATACCATCTTGGTTTAGCTCAGTGGATAGGGCGTCAACCTGCAGACTGAAGGGTCCTGGGTTCGATTCCGATCAAGGGCATGTACTTTGGTTGCAGGCACATCACCAGTGGGGGGTGTGCAGGAGGCAGCTGATCGGTGTTTCTCTCTCATCGAAGTTTCTAACTCTCTATCCCTCTCCCTTCCTCTCTGTAAAAAATCAATTATATATATATATATTAATAAATCAATAATATATATATAATTCATATAAATCAATATAATCAATAATATATATATATATATAATTTTTTTTAAAATCAGGTTTCAATTAGCTTTTTGTGTAGGAAATATTTAGGTGAGAGTCCCACCTGCTCATATGTCCTTTGGTTCTTGTCCTGCCTCTTATTATTTTTTTCTTCTTCTTTTTGTCCTGTCTCTTCTTGTTCACTCCTTGCTGGTCTAAATTCTATCCATTCTTCAAACGCCAGCTTACAAAGTCTCTAGAAAGCCTCCCCCGGGGATTCCAGTTTACTCTGACATTTCTTTTCTAAATTCCTTCGGCAAATACACCTCCCGGTGACACCCTCCGCCCTCCAGGCAAGTCATGTGTAATCCCTTCCCCTGGGGTTTGGGCAAGACCTGTGACTTGCTTCTTGGCAGTAGGAGATGGCAAAGGTGATGATGTGTCACTCACATGACTACAGCTGCCTTGCGTTAGAGTCCTTAGGAGACTGGAGCAGCAGAGGCCCCGGTGACCTTGAGGAAGAAAGCTGCCTTGCTCTGAACCGGCTCCAGAGAAGGCCCACGGCGGGGAACTGCAGGGGCCTCGGGGAACTGAGGCTTTTCCCCACATGACAGCAAGGAAGTTGGACTCTGTCCTGTACCTGCAAGAAATTCTGCCAAAACCTACATGAGCGTGGAGGACACTGGGCTCCACTAAGGAGCACAAGCCTTGTGTCAACACCTTGTTGCAGGATGGCGTTGAGACCCTGTAGACGGCCCGGACTCCGAACCCACAAACACTGCGAGAAAATCAATGTGTGTTGTTGTTTTTGTTTTATAAATTTTATTAATTTTTTTTTTTTTTAACAGAGGAAGGGAGAGGGATAGAGTTAGAAACATCGATAAGAGTAACATTGATCAGCTGCCTCTTACACACCCCCTACTGGGGATATGCCCGCAGCCAAGGAACATGCCCTTGACCAGAATCGAACCGGGAACTCTTCAGTCTGCAGGCCGACGCTCTATCCACTGAGCCAAACCAGTGAGGGCAATGTGTGTTGTTTTAAGCTAACAAATTTGTAGTCATTTGGTACATGGCAATAGATAATGAATATAACTCCTACTGCATTTATGGTCAGGGCCACTCAGTTTAGACCGTAGTAGTCAAATAGTTTTACTTTTGCAATTCAATCATAAGCCCCTTGAAACCAAGGAATTTGGCACATGTGACTTGTGCCCTCGGCGCGTATGCAGTCACAAGAGAAGGAGCTCAACAGTCCAGAAAAGGACCCTACAGTGGCTAATACCATCTGCTGCATAGGACACGGTGGGGATCGAATGAGTCATAATAGTTAGAACGCTAATCATGGATAGAACGCTAAGCACACAGCTTTTATTAATCATATTTATTTTTTAAAAATATATTTTATTGATTTTATACAGAGAGGAAGGGAGAGAGATAGAGTTAGAAACATCGATGAGAGTCATCAATCAGCTGCCTCTTGCACACCCCCTACTGGGGATGTGCCCGCAACCAAGGTACATGCCCTTGACCGGAATCAAACCCAGGACCTTTCAGTCCCCAAGCCGACGCTCTATTCATTGAGCCAAACCGGTCCCGGCTATTAATCATATTAATTAAACAAACATCCCATCTAGCCCTATTCCCTCATTGTGCTGATAAAGACATAACTTCCTCCACACACACCTGCAAGAAATAGAACCCAACGAGAAACAATGACTTGTCAAAGGTCACTTGGCAGATCATTTGCCTGAACGCAACCCTCTAAGAACAATTCAATGGCTTATGTGAGGCAATAAGGCATGCCTGTGGATTCAGGGATTGAAGAAAGAAAAACAAAAAAGGAGGCCCTCTTTTTCTAAAAATATTTTTATTGATTTTTTTAAATGAAATTGACCATAGACACTTCATTTTTTTAAATTTATTTTATTTTATTTTTAAAATATATTTTATTGATTTTTCACAGAGAGGAAGAGAGAGGGATAGAGAGTTAGAAACGTTGATGAGAGAGAATCATTGACCAGCTGCCTCTTGCACACCCCCCACTGGGGATGTGCCCGCAACCAAGGTACATGCCCTTGACCAGAATCAAACCCGGGACCTTTCAGTCCGCAGGCTGATGCTCTATCCACTGAGCCAAACCGGTGCCGGCTTTATTGATTTTTTACAAAGAGGAAGAGAGAGTTAGAAACATCGATGAGAG